CTCAAAATCATTTCCTCTTTCCAGAGGAGATGTGCTCAGTTAATTTAATAAAAGTTTATGTCATTGAAGTTCTTTTTTTTAAGAAAACATTAGTATTATGAATATTAAACAGAGAAAATGGAAGATTTTTGAGAGCAATACATAAATGATTTGACAACCAATATATTTCCTATTAAAGTTGGATGCTAATTGCCACCAAATATAAAAAAATTGAAATATATATATATATATGAATCATTGAAAAATATTGAAATATATAATATATATGAATCCCCAAGATTGAACAGAAGCTACATCTCCATGGATTTCTTATTTTGAAATTGCAACAGAAAACCTTCAAAATCTAGTGATATTGTGAAATATTGATGTGGTGTCCAAGGTATGCATCATCTGAGTCTGAGGTATCATCTGATGGATGCTTTGTTGAAGACAATGCCAGTGATTTTGCCGCAGTAGTTTTATGAATTTATATGTGTGTCTCTCTCTGTGCATATGATATGTATACTGTAAAGACTGGTAGAGAGAAGTAGTGTCAATATATATATACAGGGTGTCCATAAAGTTCGTGTGCACTTTAAAAAATTATAACTTTATTTGTATTTGCGATAGAAATAATCTGTAAAAAATGTTATAAAGTTTAATGTACCTTGTTTTTTAGTATAGCTATTATAACTTATGTGATTTCAGGCATTACTGTAAATCAGTTGGTAAATATTTACCATGAACTGCAAAATCGTATTACCCTTTGTATTGCTAATGATGGAGGACATGTGGAAACTTAAATAAAATTTCAATAAAACCTTAAAAATTATTTCTATCAGAAATACAAATAAAGTTGCAAAATTTTTGAAGTGCACACGAACTTTATGGACACCCTGTATATGTGTGATAGAATAAAGAACAGATAAGAAACATTTAAAAATCTATCAGGTTTCACTTTTATTAGCACTTTAGCAGAGTGAAGACAGAAATTCTGGTATTTTTACTTTTGTGTTGTTTGATTTTCATTTGTTAAGCAAGCTTCACATGTATTTGACTTGTTAAGCAACATCAGTATAAGTTATACTCAAGGAGAGATGACACCATAACTTATACTAATGCTACTTAACAAGTCAAATGTATGTGAAGCCTGTTTAACTAATAAAAAATCAAACACAAAAATAAAAATACCAGAATTTCTTTGAAACATTAAATTTATAAATGTTTCTTATTTGTTCTTTATCCTACCATTCTGTTGGATTCCAATATATATTTAATCCCTATTCAATATATATCTATATATACACATATTGATAATATTAGTGGTCAATATTTATTTATATACATAAATTCCCAAGAGGATAGAATCCAGGAAAGAGTAAGGATATAATTTTTTTGAATTTGTAGGTCTGATGAATTGGATCGTGATTACAATTCCAATGTAATAAATTATAACCATAGAATATTAGTCTTTGAGCCTTTTATATTACACACACACACACACACACATATATATATATAATAATGGACTCTCCCGTCGGTTTCGACGTATGAGGATCTGACAGCTTATTGATTCAGTTATGAAATTTTGTGCAATAATCTTAAGTGGCATTTAAGACCCGCTAGTGATTTACAAAGGAGGCCACATATAGAGCAAGTGTGAGGATTGTGAGATGAGATCACTGTTAGATTGGCTGACCTTTTAGATCTTGCTCTCACTTCTTGAAGAATATATATATATATACTATATATAGTCTAATGTTAATTATGTTTTATGAATATGTCCTGAAGATAGTCTACTTGACCGAAACGTCCGACATTGGCATTATATTAACATTAAAACAGCATAATTGCATATTAGGATTTTTGTTTGTTTTTTTCCGTATATTTTTCTTCATATATATATATATATATATATATATATATATATATATATATATGATGGGCTCTCCCATTGTTTTTGATATATGAGTGTCTTTCATTTCAGTTTTTATGTTTATGTTTTGTATGAGACAACAATCCAGCACAGGATTTGCAAACAAGTCCACATGAGGGACATTCTGATGGGTTGACCCTCATAAGGGCTGACGCATTAGCCCGAGATTTAGTGTTAATTCTTAATTCTCTCAGATGATTGAGACGATTCTTTTCAAAGTTAGTTATACCTCAGTAGCAGGTGTTTCTCCAGTTTGAACTTGCTGTTGAAAACCCAGCAAACTCATCTATAGGGATCTTTGCAGCAATTAAATTGCATTTAAGTTTGTCCTTGAAGCGTAACCAAGGATGGCCTACATTACGCTTACCATGAAAAAGTTGGTTATACATGAGGATTTTTGGCATCCAATCATCACTCATTCTGATGACATGACCAGCCCACCTAAACTGTGATTGTATCAGAAAGGATTTAATACCACTGACACCACATTTAATGAAAAGATCACGGTTAGAGATTTTGTTCTGCTGTGTATAACTGCATATTAACAAAAACAGCATTTATGAAAAGTATCAAGTTGATTGATGTGCATCCTGTATGGTGTCCATGATTCTGACCCATAAAGAAGTGTATAGACATGATAAAATTAACACAACCTCAAACATTTACGGATGACTTTTAGCTTAATATTCTACCATCACTTCCAACATTATTCATATTTATCATGTAACAAATATATACACCATTCTAACCATTTTGCTACACTACTTTTTCAAGTAGCCCACACATACACACACACAGATACTACAAGATAAATACAATACCCCCACTAGAATCATAGCACGACAGACAATTTTTACATTCTCTTACTCCCACCAAATGAAAAAATGCAGGAATATTTGAAAGAATAAATAAAAAAAAAATTCATCAAATTTTCCTTTGTTCATCATATTCAATGTAACATCTTTTGAAAGAAAGGTTACTGCAGAAATATACGTTATTTATATATACAAATGTATACAAATCAATTGTGGAAATAAAATAAGCACTTAACATATTTGCTGGCATATGAGAGAGTGCTGAAAAGTACTCAGCTCATCTCAAGCATCAAATTTTTCAGCCTCCTTTCTAGGACTCGTTTTCCAATGAAAAATAGTTTAAAAATAGCTTCCATGTTTTATACATGAGATTGATATATCAAGTCAGCTAATATGTAACTAGATGCTGTAGACGACAATTACTTATATCTGACTCTATAATAGTATAACATTAATTGCTAACTGGTGAGACTCATATAACATAAAAGTGTCGTTCATTTTTATTTTCAATGCATCTTTTTTTTTTATTTCTTTACTTATTAGAGCATAGGATCTCTCCAAGTGGATAAATCTAGGTCACTAACTCACAAATCAAAAACCCACTTACCATTCTTTGAAATTATAACCAGCAACTATAGTTACACATGCTGTAAAAAATGTTGCCATAAATATACATTTTTTCCCAATTCTTAATTATTGTGCTCTACTCTTTCATCAATTACGTCTTTTCCCCTCACCCAGCTTTCTAACGCCCATGAAACAATTTGACTTATCTCCCTTGCACTTTCATTTTAACCATCTTCTATAAAATCACATAAGTCTAAAGTTAATCTTTATCTCACCTTGAACAAAACACCCTTAGTTATTAGACAAGTGATTTACTAAGCAAAGATGTTACACAAGGCCATTATGATGGAGCACCCAGTGAGGATCAAACGCTCTAATCAGTCATAATTGATCTAGCGAGACAAGCTTGTTAACCGTAACATCACATCAAAGTGCCTTGTCTATTTTTTATATTTATTACTAACAAATGTGTTTACAATATTAGTGATGACATTTAATTTACATACTAATTTTAAAGGCATATTCTAATGAATATTTCACTAATGTTATTTATTTTTAATACAAATAATAAAACTCACAATATTTAAGGTGGAGTAATAGACAACGGCTCGGACTGAAGAATTGGAGAACTGAGTTCAATTTCCATAGGAGTTTGTTACATTCAATTACTGCACAAATAGGAAAGTTATGACTCCATCTCTTCTCCCCGCTGTTATAGGTTAAATACCAGACTGAGTCCTATAGCCTTGACTGACAACCAGTCTAAGAGAAAGAACAACTCTAAATTCAAAAAACCCAACTATGGGTTAAATAGCTTCACCAACCTGCAATTGGCCAAGGATGGTGAGTACAACTACACACCTGAAGACATGTTTAATCCAGAATCCTCCAACAGGAGTGAGAAGACCTTGAATTTGAATTTGGACATATAAGGAAGCTTTCTGTTGATAAAGTTTGTTTATATTTAAATCCTTCAAATGTTTGTGTAGAAAGAATTTATATTTACCTTGTCAGAATTCAATCAGAAATTTAAAAAATATCAGAGTTTGCATTTAAAGAAAATATTAAATAAAATGTAAAATATAATGTAGAAATAAAATAAAATAAAGAAAATGTCAAATAAATATAATCCTACCTTCTAAAAATAAATTAATAGAAGTAATCTGAATAAATTAAAGAAACAACTTTCAATAAGGGAAATTAATCTGTTGTTGAATTAATTTTTAATAATTAAAACATTAGAGAGCTTTATTTACTTTTCTCTGCTTGTAGTACAATGATTTGGTTAATTATAGTAAATTAAAAGTATATATTGTTTATTTTTATGATTTTAAAAACCATAAAATAAGCACATCCCATCTCCCCTCTCATTTGTAACCATCCACTATAATAAAATAAAAGTTTTCAGTACTAAAGCTGAATTAGTCAAATAAAGCTTCATAAGCTTCTACTTAGAGTTGTTGCTATATTACAAGATGTAAAATAATACAAAACATCACATATTAAAAACATCATACATGCAGTGTTGTGGTTAACAAGCTTCTTTTGGTGGCCAATTATTTGGCATAATGAGTTCAATCCTTATCCCATCCTCCAACAGCTGTGACATTGTACAAAACTAAGATAATTATAAATAAATTGATAATTAATTTCATTTGTAATTTTAATTCATCTTTTTTTAATTAGTTTCATTTCATTTTCAGGTTTCATTGGCGCAAATTATCGCAGGCAAAAGGCTGAGATGCAAGTAAGTTTTTGTTTTCTTTCACTTGTGAATCTGCAATGTGAATTTATTTTCCTTTACAGATTGTTAGTGTTTGTCAGTCAAGCATTTCATTTCAGTTAATGTTAAAAATTCTTTGAAAACTTCAACTTGTTGGAATCTGGATATACCATTAAACTTGTTGGAATCTGGATGTACCATTTTTTTCTGCTATATAAGATTCCCACTACTATTCTCTCTGCAAAGAAATGGTTAAACATATCCCCTGGAGCTGACTTATTTGTGGAAGTTAATATTTTCTCAGATATTGTGGCATAGCAATACTTGTATCTCACCTAACATCATAATATTCTTGTATCTGTGGGATTATCCCCGTCTTGTCTTCTTGGAAATGTTTCTTAACACCCACTAGGTGGCATTGTATGAAGCATTTTAAAAAGAAAGAAAGGGATGCTGTAGATACAAGACATGTGTTTTTTCCCCTCCAGTCGATATCTTAATCTCCCTAGCAAACCATGTGTCACTTACAATACTATCCCTACATCCAGGGTTGGCCCTATTGTTGCTGGCGCGACAGACAAGCTGAACTTTAGCACCCTTACAAGTATAATTTTTAAAAAATTTTCACAAGGATAAAAACTGAAAAATAGAATAAGGAATTTATTACAATATACAACTTAATACAAGCCAAAGAAAACATTCATTATCCAACCTAAAAGATTTTTTCTCGTCTTTAGATCTGCAAATCTTTTCATGGTGCTTTCTACACCTATTGTCTTTACAAGATTATTTTCTATTGACAAAATAACAAAGAATTCAATATGCCTTCAGTCATGGATAACCGCAAGTATGTTTTTATAAACTTTAGTTATGGAAGATTCCAAACACATGACATGATGGCATCTGGCACCCTTGACCTTGATGGCACCCCGGGTGACTGCCCGAGTTGCCAGCACCTTGAGCCGGCCCTGTATATTTATATATATATTATAATTATTATTTGCATCTGAAGTTATGAACATTATTTATACTGTGTATATTATATATATGAACATTTTATACACACACACACACACACACACACACACATATATATATATATACAAATTAATACAAGCCAAAGAAAACATTCATTATCCAACCTAAACGATTTTTTCTCGTCTTTAGATCTATAAATCTTTTCATGGCTCTGTCTACACCTATTTTCTTTACAAGATCTTTTTCTATTAACAAAATAGCCAAAGAATTTAATCTGCATTGAGTCATGGGCAACCGCAAGGTTGATCCCAAACACATGACATGGCAGCATAATGGTACCCTCAGCCTTGATGGTACCCTCGGCCTTGATGGTACCCTCGGCCTTGATGGTACCCTCAGCCTTGATGGTACCCTCGGCCTTGATGGTACCCTCGGCCTTGATGGTACCCTCAGCCTTGATGGTACCCTCGGCCTTGATGTTATCCTCAGCCTTGATGGTACCCTCGGCCTTGATGTTATCCTCAGCCTTGATGGTACCCCGGGCAACTGCCTTGAGCTAGCCATGCCTATACCATTTCCTGTTAAAAAAAAAAACTTATATACAACCACAATATCTCCACTACAACTTATCACATAAATATATATCTCCATCCAACACAAGAAAATACCCCTCTTCAAAAAATAAGACAACGCTGCTCTAAACTGATGGTTACTATGACAACCTGGCAACCTAATCCCATTACACAGTTAGCAATTGAGATATTAACTTGAATTTTGATTAGATGACACATTGTCAGCTATTATTAATTTTTAATTCAAATGTCCTTCATCATAATTTCAATTGCTTTTCAACACAACTAAGCAGATCATCACACTATGACCATTTGTAAACAATATTTTCTCAAATTTTTATTAGATGACACAGTGTCATTAATATCACCATACTGTCACCTGTTAAAAAAAAACAAACATCATACAACTGTAGTAATATAAAAAAATATCCCTCTTCAAAAAATTAGTCATATTATTATTATATTTAAATTTCTGTATTTGCTTGATTTGACCTCTGATTTGACCTCTCTGATTCATAGTTCCATTCTGTTTTCTTACAATTGATGATTAGTCCTTTGTTCCTGCTTTCCTTTACTACCATGTCTAGGAGGTCCTGCAGTTTTCTTTCCGTGTCTGCCATCAACATGGTGTCATCTTCATATATTAAGATTGTGTCTGTCAATAATAAATCCTGGTTGGACTTCTAGTTCTCTTAGTATTGTCTTGTAGATAAGGTCATAAAGGAAAACGAGAAGAAAGAATAATCATTAATGGTAGGAAGCCAGAATCCATTGTTATTAGCAAGGGGCACAGCCAAAGTTGCAAACTATAAATTCAAGATGCCAAAATGAAGCAAGTATTGAAATTTGAAATGGCCCCCTACTTTTTAGACTGCTACACTTTCTTTTACTACTTTGTCTGTTATTAAGATTGCGTTCACCAATAATAAATCCTGGTAGGACTCCTAGTTCTCTTAGGACAACTTTGCTGTAAAGGTAAAATAAATCCGGTGAGATGATACATCTTTGTCTTGACCCTTTCCATTTTTGTGTACTCACTCAATTCATTTTCAATTGCTCCCAGTATATGTGTGGCATGGAGGGTGGGGGGCAATATCCCCCTGAAAGAATAATAATGATAATAAAGGAGAATATGCTGGAAAAAAGGTGTTCTTAAAAGAACCATGATGTTAAAAATGCTGTAAAGACTTTGAAATGTAATTGTTACAGATTTTATTTAGAAAACGAAATACAATCTTTTTTCTTCTCTTTAAGCATACAAAAGATATGAGATTATTAATAGGAAATAGGATTCAGAATGTCTTGATCTAAAGGTTAATTTTATCAATAATAAGACAGCATGAATCTATGTAAAGTTCACCAAAATTACTCAGCGCTATTAATAGATTAACTTAGAACAATGGCAATACGGTCAGGGTACTGAAAGATGAAACAAGTGTGAAGTTTTAATTTAGAAGTGAGTCAGGAAATAGATCAATCTCATTCCTAATAAAAGTATGTCAGTACGTTCACACTAGAAAAACAAATACATCAACAGTTCTCTATATAAAGAGGATCAGCCAGACTTGTGGGTGACATCGGCCCAGTGGTGTTAGGATGTGGTGTCAGATGAACGCCTTGACCAGAGATCGTGTTACAACTGACACCATTCAAGAAGATCGGTATTACATATAGTCTGGATTATTCATGTATCTTTGCATAATAAATCAAGTGTTTTCCTACCAGTTCAAATAGGTCTTTGTGTTGTACCTTATCAAATGCTTAATACTCTCAGTATAATGACTACAGAGGATACTAAGCCAAATAGAAATGTCTATAAGAGGTATAATTCCTCATCTCAAAAATTCTGATATAAATTCACCTATCGTCCAGTTCACACTCCTTCTTTCCTTTTTAGGATTGCGTTTTCAGTTTCTTCAATTCTGTACATCTGATATCCTAATGTCACCGTCTAAACTCTGAAATTTATACTGTTATTGAGTTTCCAGTTCTTTCCAAAGTTTTTTCCTTTTCTTTTCACTTCTTTATGTCTTAGTGACATTATAACCTTCCTTGGGGTGAATTGATTTAAAAAAAATTAGCAAAAGACCAATGAAGAAAGAAAGTAAGACTTACCAAACAGCTAACCCTTGAAACTCACACTGGTATATAAACGAAAAAATAAAAGCTGCTAACCACCTATACAGAGTCAAATCATCTTCATTCTCTTTTTATTTCATTGATAAGAAGGAATTTCCATTCAGACAGCTTCTTCTTGGGAATCACAACTTTGTAGAACAGACTCCCAAGTGGATGCTTCTCTGATTGCTACAATCTTAACCTCTTGATGTCTAGGCTCGACAGTTATCAACAACTTCATTCAGTAATACTCTACCTTAAATGGCTCTTGAGCCTGGTATTGGGTGAACAAAAGTTTAAAAATTTTAATTAAAATTAATGAAGATGCTTTCTTTTTTACTTTGTCCTTTTAAGATCATGGCTCTCCACAACTTCTTATTCTTTGTAGCTCTCAGCAATGTTTTGTGAAGATGAAGAAAAAGAATAAAAACAATGAGATTAAATAAGTAAAAAGAAAAAAAGGTGAGAAAGAAATAAAAATGTTTCTTTTGTGGAACAAAATAAGTTCATCCCATCTCCCCTCTCACTTATAACCATCCACTATAATAAAATAAACTTTTTGAGCACTAAAACTGAATTAGTCAAATAATGTATATATATATTTACCAACCACCCCATAAGTTGTGGCACAAGGCCGAGTTTTAAAGTGGGGAAATCCAAGCCTGTATGCCCGACCAAAAATTCCCCATATAAAACAGGGACAGATAGCTCTTTCCTGAGATGAGAGACTGCCCTTCGACATAGCCCCATCTGGGGATCCTCTCTGCCCAGTGGTAGAGAGTTTGACCAGCACAGCTGGAAAAGATTCCAGCTGGACTCCGGAATCCAACCCCGGAAACCAGAGTTGGATAATGTATGCTCATTGGACCCTTTTATTTTTGCCCCACTTTCTTTAGTTTAATTCACCCTTCGCCTCCCCCATTAGGTAACCTGAGGTGTCAGTTCTCTGGTAGATCTGGGATGCCTTTCATTTTTCAAGTGTGTTTGAGTAAGTGTTTGATCAAATGATTGTTTGAATTTTTAAAATCCCGCATTAATTTTGTCCAGTTAACTGATGTTTTTGCGACATTTAAAAACTGTGAATTATTTTATTACTATTATTATTATTTTGTTTTGTTTCTTGTAAATAGATCTTTGTTTTCATTGTAAATATTCATTGGGGTTATAAATTATTAAAATTGTTATTTTATTCCCAACCCACCACAGATAAATTGTACATTTGGAGATTAGTTAGGACATCATAAGAGTCTCTCAGTTATTATACTGGCTGTAGAAAGAATGGTAAGTAACATTGTGTTGTTTTGGTGTAAGGATTCGTAACACGGTAGGTAAGTTGGTGTTGATGTAGTAGTAATCCTAACTAGATATTATTTCAGTGTTTTTTAAATAATTACGCTGTTGCTACATGTATTTGTAGTGTAAGAGAAATCCTTTTCTCTTTTTTTATATTGAAAAAAAGGAATTAAAATGTACACTAATAATATAAACAACAAAAACTTGAGACACGTGTTGGCATAAATAGCATGAATTTGTATTTTCTTTTTGTGATAGGAATTACAGAATATTGATACGGTGATATAAATATGTTCTCAGTGTCTCTTTTGTTTAAAACTCAGTGGTTAGTTGATTTGGTCCTGAGAATTTCGTTTGTGAGGATGGCATTTGAAATCATCTGTTTTCGATATTCATGGAGTGCTGAGCAAAGACGTGAGTTTCCGTACTACTAGTATTACTACTTGTCTACTAGTCTATTGACTACTGCTATAGGGTACCCTAGTCTACACTACTCTACTCTACTGACTCTCGTGTGGTGGAAGGGTCGTTTTTATAATGGTGAAAGTAGGATAATGAAATATCCTTCTTTTCTATTATCACTAATGACAAGGTTATTTTTTGAATGATAAAATATCCATCAATATTTCTGAGATGAGGTATTATGTACACTATTTACATTATTCGGACTATTGTCCTCATCTTTATCGCCATATTTATTACAACGTTTCAGCCGTTATACGCTCCGGCCTTCTTCAGGTGGTTGGAATGTTGAACTGTACCCTTTATTTGACATCCATTAAACATGGCACGTGGAACTAGAACAGTCTACCCCAGGGAGCGAAATAAAGGGTTCAGTTCGAAATTCCAACCACTTGAAGAAAGCTGGAGTGTACAATGGTTGAAATGTTGTAATAAATATGGTGACAAAGATGAGGAGAATAGTCTGAATAATGTAAATAGTGATAAAATATCCTTATTTTTTTATCATCACTGATGGCAGTGTTAGTTTTAGAATGATGAAATATCATCATTCTAGACCATAACAGAATTATTATGGTATTTTTCGGTCAGTAATTGTGCCTGGCTAAGTTTAATTAAATAAGATAAATGAAAACCAGGCTTCTTGATCTCCCGCTTTGGCTTTGTGCCATATTTGTACATAGTCGTACAATAAATATCATTAGTAAAATAAAACTTCATAATCTTCTACTTAGATTTGCTGCTATGTTAAATGCATTGTGAAAATTGGGCAAGTTGAAAAAATAGGCAAGACTAGGAAGAGAAGAAAGACTTGAGGTATTGTTTGTTTAGCCTTCATACAGAATGCGTGGGAAAGAGAAGAGAGAATTGTTAACTGTGTTTAGTCTGCAAATGAGAGAAAGAAAATAAATGGAAAATATAATCGGCACTTAATAAAAACACTTTTTAGCAGCCATGGTTATTCCATCCTTGTTAAGTCACAAGAGAAAGTGTTCACCTTCTCTCTCTCTCTCTCTCTCTCTCTCTCTCTCTCACCCTCCCAACTCTGAAAGAGAGAGGGTGTGTCAGTATTGCAGGGTGTGTCACCATTGATTGCAAACAAATGTCTGCTAGACAAAAGCCTTCTATCTAATTCTACAAGATCCTAAACCACACAAATAAAACCACCTCCCCTCACAGCCTTTTTATCACATTAGGATAAAAAAAACACACAATAAAAAGGAAAAAAAAAAAGCTAATTAATAAAACTGTATCAAACTCGGACAACTTAAAGCTATTATGTCTACAACTACTACAAAGTGTAAACAAACAATATGATATTGTGAAAATCTGATAAGAAAGATTGTAATTGTGCAACTAAGTTTGAATTTTGCCTGCTAAGGAGTTTTTATGCCTTCAATTTATATGTCAGATGGATGCCCAAGGATGTGTCTTTAAATCTCTTTGAAAGATATTCCTTCAGTTCATGTGGCTTAGGTTGTGTCATAAATCATTTCTGTTTTTGTTTAGAGAGTCCACCGTGCCCTACTATTTAACCCATAGCTGGGGGTGAGATGAATTCATAGCTTTCCTATTGATATAGAATTAGTAAATAGTCCTTTGAATCCACAGTTTATTTTTGAAAATAGCCAGTGTTGGTGCATTTACAAGAGATGACTAAGTAAAGAATTCTACCTGTGCTATTTTAAATAAAGAATTCTACCTGTGCTGTTTCAGTAAATTATGAGAGTGACCATACATTGACTTATTTAAGAAGATGAAGAAATTGTTTACTTCCATTTTATAATAGCCATTCAGTATTTTATATACTTGTGCTGAGTCCAAATGTAAAAAAATATAAAATATGAAAATAAAATATATGAAAAAAAAAAGAATCCAAATTAAAATAAGGTTTTTGCTTTCCTTAGAACCCATAACTCTCTCTCTCTCTCTCTCTCTCTCTCTCTCTCTCTCTCTCTCTTCTCTCTCAACTAATGAGACGGCAACCCTCAAATCAAAAACAGGAAGAAGAAAAAAAAACTGAACACTGCTGCAAAATGGAAGTTTATTGGCCCAAGGTCTAATTATTGTGACTAGAAACCTACCAAAATTATAGTTATAACTTCCACTATAAAAGAAAAAGAAAGGAACATTGAAAAATAAAAGTATTTGGGCAAATTTAAAAAAGCAAAGAGACTTTTGATGTTAGCCAAAACCAAGCTTTGTACCAAGTTGTCTGGAGCCTTTCTTAAGTGTATATAATGAGACAGGCAACACAGGCGGCAGAGAGAAGTGGCAACAAGAAAAACTAGCCAAGCGTGTCACATGAAGAAAATACTGATCATTTGCTTAAGATATTTTTCCACCCATCTAAGGGCCAAGATCTAAAGTAACCACACTCCTGACAGCTGCCAAAGTCTGACCCATAGCTAGCAATTATCCAACTGAACACTTTCACTAATACAAATTACAAAGGGTTCACTCCAATCAAAGACAAACATGTTATTTGTTTAAATCTTTAATTCTCATCATTTATTCTGAAGTCTCTGATAAATAAAACTAAGAACTCTCTGGCACTTCTCCACATTCTTCACAGTAATCAGTGAATTGGTTTCTTGACTGAAGAGATGCTAGCTTGATTTCACCTATAGCTAGGCTGAGGTACCAGTCCTTGGTGGATTGCAATGTTGATATCTTTTTTTGTAGTTTGGACTTCAGATAGCAGCTACATGTTCAAGTACAGGTTGAATTGTGGTGTTGTGGGAAGTGTATATTCGTTGGTAATTGTTGCTTGTATAAGAAGGTAGGTAAGCAGTAGCAGTCACTTATGGACAGCTGCTAGTTTGGCCTAAAGGTTCAACAAGCAATCAAATTGAGGTCACCATAACATAAACAAACAAAATATGAAAGAGAAGGGTATATCAGAAACACTTTATATTTAAATACACATCAATGATAAGTATAATGTTTCTTGATTAACACACACAAAGTCCGTTATTAAAATGTTCATTCAAAGAAAAGAAATCAGATTATGAAAGGAATTAAAGTATCATTTTGTGAATACTTAAGTTTAGGCGTGCAGGTCCCAGGAGATGAAAGGTGAGGTCAATGGGTTGGTAGGTGTCATTTGATATCTCCGTTGGTGAAGGAAAACTGGAGGCGCCGGGTTGATGGGTGAGAAAAGCGTAGCGACATTCTATGACGGTAACTTCAAGGCTTTCTGACCAGAAGTGAATTCATCGTTCTATTTATGTGTGTCCATCGGATCTGAGTCAGTATGCTGAAACAAACTGTTGGATATGGCGGGGCCGTTTAATTGGTGGAAATTGCTTATTATATTCTTTTTATTTCTTTTGATTTTCCACGGAACTTATCGTCGAGCCTGGTGCGCAAAGACCAGTATTGGTCATTTGCTATCTAGACCTCTGAGGGTTAACATCCGGTCCTTCACTTGCTCAGTACCACCACAGAATAAATGAACTGTAAAGAGTTTTTACTTTTCTTTGCTAAACTGATTCTTAAAGAATCTGTTAATCAAACCAATACTTTGATTAAACTTTTTTTTTACTATTTCAGAAATATATAACCTTGATTGTATTAATAACTTTAATATTCATAATAAACTTAACATCTGTGTATGTTTCGATCATTTAGCCCGCCCAGAATATATGCTCCAGGGAGGATGTAAAATAAGTGCATCGCTATAAAGAGAAAAAAAAAAGGAAAAAGAATGTAAAAAAAATAAAAGGACAAAATAAGACCCTCCCCACCCCAACTAAAAAAAAAAAAAAAAAAAAATTCATATCAAGGGAGATAACAGTATTTTTCTATACTGAGTTGTCTCCCTGAATTATCATTTTTTTTTTTTTTGTTTTTTTTCTCAGTTTAATCTCCAAGATTTTTATTGTAAATCTTTTAGATAAAAATTTACAGTAATAAATATAATGATAGCATAAGGGAAAAATTGAAAACGTTTATAAATTTAATGTTTGATTTTATTTAAGCTTAATCAAAAATGAAATATGGACGAGAAAAGAAATTTGGTATTTGTTTTTATTTTTGTGTTGTTTGATTTTCATTGGTTAAGCACCCACAACTACTGTCGGTATAACCTAAATTCTTTCACTCCCACACAAAACATCCCCACCCCACGAATCAACATATGGACACTATCAGACAGAAATAAAATACCCACTTGATGTACATGTGCATTATCAACCAATTCTCCCACATAGACCAACTAGAATTAAACACACATGAATTATATACATGAACCAGACAAGACAAAATACATGAGTTCTAATTAACCATTGAAAAACAAACAAACACAAAAATAAAAAATAACAGCATTTTTCTACAGCATATTTAATTTCTGATGAAGTTTAAATAAAAGCAAAACATGTTAACTTTATAAATGTTTCCTTTTTATTCACAAAGTTAAGACAGGATTTCTGAAAAGGAATTCAAATCCTATTTTTTGCCTGGGGCTGATTCTTTATTTCCTATCCTGATTACTTAATAAGCAACTGAAAGTAACATGAAAAAATATATTAGTTGAAAAATTAATAATAATATTTGAGTCCCGATATAAATGCTGAAAAAGTTGTCAAATTTTGATTTGTTTATTTTTTTCTTCACTGGGTCATGTGGGACAATTTTTCTCACCCACTCTATCCTACATATTTATAAGTCTACCATTCATCCATGTTTTGAATATTGCCGCCACATATTGTTTGGTGCCCCTGCTATATATTTAGAGATTCTTGATAAAATCCAAAGAAAAATCTACAAGGTCAATAATCTCAGATTCAGTCACTCTCTCACCCTTAACCCTAACTCTAACCCTAACCTCTGTAATGTGCCTTTTCTATAAGTACTTTCATGGTAATTGTTCTTGTTATAAAATAAAATAAGACATATCTCGGCTGATTTACAGGCAAATACTCAAGAGCGAGAACCAGATGTGAACGGGACAAAGCCCCGTCACAAAATGACCATTATCTTTCTTTACAAATGTTCCCGACACACGTGTTCCGGTCGAAAAATAAAATAATATTTAAAGTGCTCTATTTTTCGTCCAATAAAAATACTTCCCTCCTAATTATACTCGCTTCATTTCTCAAGCCTGTTAAGCCATAAAAAACACTATAAAAGGGGCCACACATAAGTTCAACAGGCAGTCAACAGGTGCCCAGAGTAGAGACATGTCACAAGGTAGCTGTCCCAAACCCACACGTTCCTGTTGAAATAAACCACGTAAATCTATTTCTGCTGTTGTCGTATTTCTTTCTTGCAACCATACGCTTGTCTATAACATTCTGATGAACTTTCCTCTATGGTATTTATACTTTATTAATTTAAGTGCAATACTAGATTGACAACAAGGTCTCATCATTTTTTTTGTTGTTAAAATGGCTACATGTAAGCTGTGTGCTAACAGATTCTCACATTTCTCTCTTCCAGAGCTTTACTTTCCATTCAAGTTTGATCTTAAATGCGATGCCAATCATTATTCTCCATATTAATTCCTGTTCCTTTGTTGTTCTCTCTTCTTTAATAATGGTTTTCTTTTTCTCATATTCTTTCACACTCAGTAACCCTCTGAGTCCCAATAGCTTTTCACCTTGCTTGGTGTGAAATAATTAAAACAAAAAAGATTTCATGAGGGAAACAAGTTTAGCCATAACAAGTTTCAAAATATCCATTTTTATGGAATGAATTGACATCATCTTGGATTCTAATTATGTTTTTCTATTGTTCACTTAGAAATATTTGATGCCATGGAAACAGCGATTTCAACATGATTATTGATGGTTTGATCGGAAATCCTGTTTGGGGGAAGTTAGGAATATAGATATACCTTCAAGAATTCATCATTCAGAGAAGGAAATAAAAGAGAAGAAAATTTATATGAAGGAAAAGTATTTAGAGAAAATGAAAAAGGTTCAAGATGAAAATAAAATGGAAAAATTTAACACTAAAATATTTGAAATTTTCATGAATATTGAACATTGTTATAACCACGTCTGCTTAATTGGATATAAATCAATACTTATTGATTAGTGACAGATTATTGATTATGTATGTACATTTCTCTGTGTATCTGGAATGGAAGCCTGTATATTTTTATTTTAAATTTATTATGACTACAATTTTGTTACAAATAATTTATCTTTTTTCTTTAATCATTTCACTCCAAGCAAGGCAATAAAGCCACTAAGATGCAAGGGATTACTGAGTGAAAAAATATTAGAAAAAACACATTATAAGGGAGAGAAAACAATAAAAGAACAGGAATTAAGAAGACAGTAAATAACAGTTGACATTGCATTTACATTTTTGAAGATTAAAATAAAAGTACGCAAATATGAGTCCAGGTAAAATTTTTCAAAAGATGACTTAGATGACATTTAGAATCATTAAGTGTGAACATTTTCATTCTCCAACTCATTACTAGATTCAAAGTTTCATGAATCAGATGACAAGTTTATAATGGCACATTTAAGAAAGAAGATATTGGAAGACATAATAAAATTAATTGCTGCATATAGATTTCTAAAAATGTATTAAGTTTGACTTAGTGGATTACATGTGACATGGAAACAGTTGTTTTAAAAAGCAAACATTGTTAATAAATGTTCAGGAGAAAAGGTCCACATGTAGTGAAAGGTCCACATGTAGTGAAAGGTACACATGTAGTGAAAAGTCCATGTGTAGTTCAAGGTACACATGAAGTGAAAGGTTCATGTGTAGTGAAAGGTCCACATGTAGTGAAAGATCTACATGAAGTGAAAGGTCCATGTGTAGTGAAAGGTCCACATGTAGTGAAAGGTATACATGGAGTGAAAGGTCCACATATAGTGAAAGGTCCACATGTAGTGAAAGGTCCACATGAAGTGAAAGGTCCATGTGTAGTTCAAGGTACACATGAAGTGAAAGGTCCATGTGTAGTGAAAGGTCCACATGTAGTGAAAGGTCCACATGAAGTGAAAGGT